GTTTAGGGTTTAGGGTTTAGGGTTCAGGGTTTAGGTTTAAGGGTTTAGGGTTTAGGGTTTAGGGTTTAGGGTTCAAGGTTTAGGTTTAAGGGTTTAGGGTTTAGGGTTTAGGGTCTAGGGTCTAGGGCTGAGGATTTCGAGAAAAAAGGGCTTAGGATGCGGGGTATAGTAGGAGGTAACTCGAAACCCTGAACGCCTAAGCCCCAAATCCTAAACCCCAAGCTCGGGCTTAGCATGCTTTCGGGATATGAGTTCCGGGCCTTTAGATTTGGTGCTCCAGCCTCGCATTCTGACCGGCAATCCCATCTACCTGCCTTCGGGTCTTTTTGAGAAGAGTAAAGTATCCTTGGGGAAAACCATTTGAGACTCGGCATTGCGGCTCGGTAACCGATTACCCTACATCCACCCTTAGCCCTACACCCTAAACCTTAAACCCTAAACCTTAAACTCTAAACCCGAAACCCTCAACCCGAACCCCCTCGGAGCTGTGGCTTGGATGAGACTTTTGGCCGTTGGGATCATGGGCTTAAGGGCCTTCCGCTGAGGCTCTTAACGACCTTGAGGCCTTCATGGTTAATGACTCAGTTTAAGGTTTGTCCATGTTTCAGGGCTTATGTTTCAGGATTGAGGGCTCAGTTTAGGGTGTGTTTCTGATTCAGGGCTTCAGGTTTAGTTTAGGGTCAAAATTTCAGGGTTGGGATTGAGGTTCGGGCTATTCAGGGTTTAGATTGTTGCGCTATGTTGAGACTCCTATATACCAGGGAACATGCAGGTCTTGCTTCAAAACCAGAAGAAATGCACACCTTAAGGCAACACTCTAAAACATAAGGAAGGTCCCAACTCTTGCACCCGAAGCGAACCCTCTTCTGCCTCAGCATCTGGACTTCTTGCTTCTTCATCGCCTGGTCCCTGGCGAGACCATCTGAACTGCAAATAAGGCATGTAAGGTTCCGATGGGGGTGTGAATGCGGACTCTGAAATGCTTCCGTTATTGCGATGAGGTCAAGGGTTCGTCGTTGCAGGGTTAGAGCTTGTGGTGTGTCAAAGGCCTTTCGTAGACCCTGATGAGAACGGCATGCTGTCGGCATGCTTTCCCCAAAGCGTCCTAAACACAAAAAATAGTAGAATTGTAGGGTTTCTATACTAGGAACTTCTACTATGATTTGTGGAAGTAACCCCCCAAAGTAACAGTACCAAGGACTCTTGGGATGCTACGTAGGACGAAAGCCGGGCTTCGGTTTGGGGAAGAGGGAACTCGAAAAGTGGCTCATGAGACTACGGCTTTTTGGGTGGGGACTGTGGGTGTAGGGGGCCCTAAACCCTAGGGTTTAGGGTTTAGGGTCCCTAAACCCTAAACCCTAAACTCTAGACCGTGGGCCCTAAACCACCTGAATCCTAAGTTCTTCAATCCTAGGACGACAGCAAGGCCCGCGAAGACCGTAGCGAAGGTGGAACCCTGATGCCGACGGGGAGAGGCGGATAGAGGGGTAGTTCTTTAACTTAGAGTCCCTTTTGAGGGTTCCTGAAAGGCCCAAATTGGGACGGCACCCTTATAAAAGAATTTTTGGGGGACCCTCATTCAGAAACTAACCAGATACAGAAAATCACAAACCCAGAACATACAAGCCTTCATCAGTTTGGCAGGGTTTGGGGGCATCTTGTGATACGGGTTGTACTAGGAATATCGCATGGACTAGTCTCATTAATTATCCTAGCTCCTATATTCACCCCTGAACCCCGAACAAATAAACCCTAAACCCTAAGCCCCTAAATATCGTTCATAATGTAGGCCTGATTATAACGAAATATAATATACCCCCAAACCCTATTCTAATTATTAGGGCCCCATATTCACCCTTGAACCCCGAAACACTAAACCGCAAACCCTAACACCCAAACCCTGAACCCCTAAACCACTAAACCCCTCCTATGATGTACATCCTGCATTACCTTAAGGACCCTAAACTATGGGAATTATGGTATATTGGGACATGCAGGATGTATATCATCAAGCGTAGGTTCTGTTCATAGTCTCAGGCTGGCAAGCTGCAAGCCCGCTTGCAGGTCCATCATCTTTTGCCTGAGAGGAGCGAAGGAAATGGGGGTCGAAGCCCTCCCTGGGTCGAAGCCCTCCCTGTGTTTAGGGCTTCGGGCTTGTGGGGTTTACGGTTTAGGGCTTATAGGGTTCAGGGTTTGGGGTTTAGGGTTCAGGGCTTCGGGTTTGTAGGGTTTAGGGTTCAGGGTTTAGGGTTCAGGGTTTAGGGTTCAGGGTTCAGGGTTTGGGGTTAAGGGCTTAGGGTTTCGGGTTTAGGGTTTATAGGGTTTAGGGTTTAGGGTGTTCAGGGTTTAGGGCTTAGGGATAGCTACAGGTAAACCCTAAAGCCTCGGTATGGGCTTGGCGTCTAGGGTTTAGGGTTCATAGGCTTCAGGGCGTCATGTACTAGGGAACCCCGGTTTAGGGTTTAGGGTTTAGGGTTTAGGGTTTAGGGTCTAGGGTTTAGGGGATGTAATCCCAGAAAGCAGCAAGTCTTTTGTGGGGCTCCAGGCAGACCCCCAACCCTAAATCCTAAACCATGCCCGGCAGCCCCTTACTTTGCTTATGCCGGGCCAACTGGTCACACAACCACAAACGCGGACCGAGTTGACGCGTTTCTCATGGTACCTTATGGCTTCGGGTTTACGGTTCTTATGGTAGGGCAATCTAGCCGTTGACATTAAACTAAACCCTAAACCCTACATAAGCCCTAAACCCCAAACCCCCCTGAA